GTTGAGAGAGTGATGAGATATTTGCTAGAAATTGCAACCATTCGTTTTTACCATGCCCAAATTTCCTGATTTTCAAAAATTTTATACGCGACTTTTGGAAGAGCTCTAATAACCACCAGATAGGGCAAGTCTGTCGCCAACTCGAGCAACTTTTTTCTTATTTTAGCTGCTTTTCAGATTTCTAAATGATTTTCTTATTTTAAATAATTTTCTAAAAGTCTTGTGTTCTGGAAATTCGCATAATCTGTTATTGCACCAAACACTGCAAAACCTACAAAATACTAAGGTTTCAACATTCGATTATTACTACCGCTACCATTTCAAAGTAGATGAGCGATTTTCGCTTCAAATTATAGATTTTGAAACATAAGTTACGTCAGTGAGCACTGCTGGAATTGAGAAATTTTTACCCAAAAATTTCGCCTGCCTGCAAAAAAGGCAGGTGTTAGAAGGAAAAGGAAAAGTTGCATCGATTGGTGAGTGAAGTGTTCAACATTTTATGTTCTACGAAGTTAAAATAGGCTGAATGTAAAATTTGGTCACTTCAAAAAATAAAACGTAGAAATTCTAAAAAAACAAGCCGAGGTAAAAAATTGCTTCTGTTGGCAAAACGTTTGCTCCTGCCGGTTGTTAGCGCTCCTCCGAAAGTCTCGTACAAAAATTTTGAAAATTAGTGAAAGTTGAACTTGGTAAAAACGAATGGATGCAATTTCCAGCGAATATCTCATAACTCTCTCATTGAAACACAATATTTAGGACCTTAAAAGAAGAGAAAATTCTGCATCGGATACATTTTGAAGTGCTTGTTTATCTTCATTCTAGCTTGTTTGCCGATGGATTGAAAAAAACTGACAAAACTTTGCACCGAGCGAATATTATGAATAGGAACGACGAGCATTTAAGATACAAGCTCGTGGAGTTAGAAACGACGAGCATCAAAGAGACAAGCTTTTGCGTCGCTTGAAAATTAGAAAAAGGCATAAACTACTACCTTCATGCCGCGGAGTTACTGCAAAGAATGCACAGGCACATCGCTTATTCACAATTTTCAAGAACTTGCATCTATGCATTTGAGTGAGTTTGTATGTAGTAATCAGCGCTTACTGTTTCATTTGGAATTTGAGGCCATGGAGCTGACTATTAGAGTACAACCAGTACTATTAAAGTGTGTTTAGGCACACACTATTTTGTCCTATACTGTAAAGAAGCAAAAAAGACTGAGACGACGAAGCAGATTTTCGATGCAATCTATCAGCTATCGCTAAGGAGCTTGCTGTAAATGATTCTCGATAACACTAAACAGATGATTTGATAATTATTTATTGCATCACTAAAACACACCACTCAGCTCTTCTTGATAAAACTATTGTCATCAAATCACCGATTTACTTCAGAAATCATAATCGGCTAAAAATCTGGCTGAAAGACGTTTACGAAACGTTTGCCGTAACCGAATATTATACTTAGATGAAGATGAACAGAATGGAGTTCCGAATCACGAAGCATGCAGAAGCGCACGTTGTGATCTAACGGCCCTAAAAAAATAAAAAACTATGAGTACAAAAGGAAGTTAGTACTTGCTTTTGTAGAGCATAAATTCAAATTTTTTACAGTCTCTGGTGTGAGTTCAAAAGAAGCATCATGCACGACAATTATAGTGTAGTTTTGTGTTTACATGTTTAAACACAAATTCACAGCATGTTATCAAAAATTCAATGGAGAGAAATGAACTTTGGGCGTTCATTCATCAGGCCTTGATCGAAGTGAGTATTTGCAACGATACTTTATTCGAAAATTTTTTTGACACCTCTGATATTGACAATATTTTGACATCTAACATTTCGGTAAGAAACAATTTTGAGCACCATATTCATAAAAATACCATTCGATTTTGAGCATTGCAAAATTCAATTGATGGCAATGCGACTGGGGTAATTTATTGAGTTGCGTGATTAAACAAAGACTTCCTCCACGTCGAATGGCAGAATCATCTGAAAGCTCCAAAAGCATCGTTAATTGTTATTCGACATACTTGGTCACAAGCAACGCACACTTAGTCACGAGTTGCGGGCTGGTTCAAGGACTAACAAAATTTTTTGTTACAATCTGTCAAGAGATTTTCTTTATCTAAATCTTCAAAGCTGATTATATACAAGCGATTAAAAAAAGACTCGCATGTGACTGATACAGGGCTATATAAGTGTAAACAAGGAGGTTGTCTCCGTGTCAATCATACGCTCTTGATTTCTCGCTCCAAATGTTGTAGGCTTGCCTTCCACAAATATTCCTATCGAGGCCACGGGTGCAAGCCTCCAGCAGAATCCATTACAGTCAACATTATATCACCCTATTTTGCAACCGCTTACACTGCCGACAAAAGTACTATGTGATAGGTAAAACAGAAATGTTGACCTTTTCTTTTCTGGTATCCTAGCACAGCCTTATTTGAAGAGGTGCATTTATACCATGAATTCCAGAGTATACAATGAAATTCTTTCTTTTCACAACCCTGCGCTTTGCTTCTTGGTCAGCAGCGAGGCACTCATGTGTGAACTTTGCAATCCTCTAGTGAACAAGGCAGCTTCGCTTCATGCAGAGTCGAGGTAAATACTTTGAGAGTTTGCAGAGTATACAAGTACTTGTATGTAATGCAACAATCCTGACATTTGAGTGATCATTAGAGCGACTTCCTCTTCAACATTTCCTCTCCTCTGCTAGAGTTTGAAAGAACAAATGGGTCTCGGCCTTTGAAAAAAACGCGCTTTTTTCAAATTGCCTGCGCAGTTGGTGCGATTAAGGGAAGATAGTAAAATCAAAGCGGCAAAGGTGTAGTCGCTATAAAGGACTATTTGCTATCCTTGTCCCGGCCCTGGTTCACATTTCTGACAACCCTACAAATTTCATTCGTAATCTATCACTGCTGTGTTTGCGAATTAGAAATTATTTTGTAAGCTTTTGTAAAGTGCATAAATACCTTTTTAGACAAGTTCAAAATTTCGGAAAAGCAAATGCTTTGGAATGTAAGATCCCATAAACTTCTCAAAATGGTGCTAACTAATCGGGCCAAACTAATATATTCACGGGAGCGTTTTTATAGGAATATCAAACTGTGATTAGGATAACATATTACGCTTGGAAGGTACATCTCACTGTAGTCTGTGCAACTCACAATTTTTTTCGTGAGTTGAAGAAAAGACAGACGTGGGTGCCATACGTGTGAGACGAATTCAGTGGTATAAATTCTATCAAAGGTATCCGCATCTTAAAAATTTTCGGCTACTGCAATACATAGGGAGTAATTCAGTTGAAAGATGTCAAATGCTCATAAATATCGAACCATTTGTAGAGTTTTTTTATTCCCTTACGCATTTTCACAGCATACTTTAATTAGTCTTGCTATCATCTCCTCCCCGGTATATTTGGACGGAGCACTTGCAGAGAACTCGTTCGGTGATCTTATGCACCCTCTATTGCAATATTCTTTGTAATCTCTCGCTTCCAACCCTGTCACATAAGACAACGTATGATATATATATGTGGCGTACAAAGAACTAGACCTGCAGTTGAATTTTGATAAGTCACCAATACGTTCGAACCCAACGTACAAAGGGGAAGCAACGATACTAGACGCGTTTATCAATCCCTTATTTAGGAATGGGATTCCTGTATAAGTAACGGCCCCGTACGAACGCGGGCGCTAGCGCCCGCGATACACCAAGCCAAGCTGGTGATCGAGCTTCTCCATCGGTGAATATGGTCCGATCTGGCAAGTTTGGCCATGTTGGGCACAGCAGCCTGGCAGCGGAGCCCGACCTGTTGAGATCGGGCTCTGCTGCTCGACATGGCCAAACTTGCCAGATCGGACACTCTGAAGTTTGGTGACACGGGATTGGGGTTCTCTCCTGTTCGGGCAATCGTTAATCATGGCCCGAACAGCTAGTTGGAGATTGGTAGATAATTCATTCAAATCTATAAAATCACTGGAGCTCTAATGCATAATGCGCTATAAGATCTAACTTAGGAGTGCATGACTAGCAAGATATGTGATGTACAGGTTTCAAGGGGTGCTCACATTCACCGGAGACACAATAGGTGTTTTTAAACAACTAGTTCTCATAAATGTGGCGCAAAATGTCTGCGAAATTTGGACCTTCGAAAGGTTTTAATTTTTCCATAGTCCGACATCGCGTATAATTAAAGTGTTGGATTAAGACAAAAATTTTTGTGTGCTGATTCCAAGCAACTCTTTTGATAGAGGAATCTCGATTGAAAAGATTTTGACAGTATTAGGAACACCCGACCTTCAGTAACTTTCTGGTCATCCTCTTTTCCATTTCGTTAAATTCCTTCTTTTGTGCATAAGCATGTGTAGGCAAAATTGACCCTTGCTAAGTTCTGCTGTGGCTCAAAAACAACCCATTTGATAGTCTATAGCTTTGGAGAGTCAAGGGAAAATATAAGCAACCGAAAACTTTGGGTAGAACTTGATTGAACGCAAGCTTCATTTGCTTCTTTTTTCAAAAGGCAATTACCAATATTATTGTTTAAAGAGAGAAGCTGATGAATTTACAGTTGAACAAGCAAAATAGTTGGTGACAGAATTGCATATTGTGCACGACTTCATAATGTTTTAATTTTGACTTACACTCCGACATCGTCTTTTACAAATGCCTAGGAATTACATAGCAGGAAAATCAAATTGTAAACTCGTGATTTCCTTTGCTCTCAGAAGATCATTTGTTTTGGTAGAGGACTATATGTCGCCGAAAGTGGGAGGATTTAACGCGGATGATGCAGCAGTACTCATCCTGTGCATGTGCTAAAAGGTGTATTTGTGTCCAACTGAACCTCCCATTTTCGCCTACATATAATCCCATAACCCATTTGTTTCTCTATCAATTATGCCGAAGTCTCGTGTTTTCGTCGTTTTATCAAGCGCTCTATGTACCGCTTATTTCTCAAAATATTATTTTCAGGCATTTCACGTCAGTTCGACAAGAATGAGAATTTTCAACCTTACCTTTTTGTTACTTACCATCTTGGTGGTACGTTGACCAAGCAAGACATAATATAGTTTACGATTTGACTCCATAGACTTGCTGACTTTACACTACTTTTAATGCTTACAGATTCTCTCTGCTGTGGACGTTGGTGAATGCGCAGTTATCGATAAAGTAAGAGCAGTATTCGAAAACCTTCCGACCTTCGCTGAAAGTTTGAAAAGAATTGCACAAGCAGTTAGAAAGATCAGAGAATCAAATGGTGCACCAGCACCAGAACCTGTACCTCAAGATGGAAAGTGATGTTTTGTGCTCGATTGTCGATAAATCTTGGCATGGTGATTCAATTGTAATACAGACATTCCGTCCGTCCACCTTCATCAGGACTTTTTGAAAGATTGAGACTTTGAGAACTGCCTGCTCAAACGCCCTGTTTGGCAGTAAATTCAGTCTAACTTTTCTGATGGATTAGCGAATAGATGTGTAAGCCTGACTTCAGCCTTTTCAAATCGGAATGTAGAGAACGAACAACCAGTACTGCGCTGCTGCTGCACTATGAGTGAGTATGATAATCACTGCACACAATGCCCTTATATGGTTATGAAGATCTCGTATTAGAATCCACACAGGTTTGATAGGAAAACATTTGATGTTTATAGTAATGCCTTCATCTTTGCGGTTCATTTTTGGTGGTTTAGACGCTATTCAAAAGGCCTCCAATGTTTTGCGGCCATTGACTCCGATTCGTGCGACAAGATTGTGACAGTGACTTGAAAGTACTGTTCTCACGACATAACCTTCGATGTGCACCCAAAGGTGTGGACATTTTGGATTTTCTAAGGCATCAAGATGTTTTGATTCTTCTGTACGAGGGTCTGCCGATGTTTCTTATGTATTGGTCACCGTATTTTTTGACAGGTGAGATATACCACTCCTAATTCCATGCAGCCGTATAGTTTTTCAAAGCTCAGATGATACAATCGGCGGTCTTGCATATTCTGTCGTACGCTCGATTTAGAAGCAGGGATATCTATAACTTTGACAAGATCATCGAGGCCTGCTGGAAACAAAGACTTTTTTATAGTTTTGCTAAAATCATCAGATACGAAGAACACAAACCGATATTTTTGCAAGAGCTAGAATTGTTTTTAGCTACATAGAGAACGTCGGATTCAGCATAGAATACAATCTCAAATTCGAGTTCAGCAGAAAAGGAAAAAGAACTGTTTTAAAAAACATCTTCACAAGTACAAGCAGACAGATTCATCAAAAAATAAAGCTATATGCAAATCTAATAATTTTTGTCTGTACAGAGAGATTATTTGGCTCAACGGGTGCACATATCGTTGGACGACCGTTCCGAATGCGCCATTAAGTCAAGAATGTTTTATTTTCCTTTGAATATCACACATTGGCAATAATAAGCTGCATTCGATAACCTGTAAATGGAACAAACTATTGACAATTTCTAACTGAAACCCGAACTTACATGCTATCATAGAGAGGTGATAATTTAGCAGAACAAAACCAAAAGTATAAACATTCACAGTAGACTGCTAGATAGAAGAATGTATTAATTTCTAGAAAACACTGAAAGGCTAATTTTGAATGATCTTTGAGAACAACCTTTATCTCTTAAAATGCGTCAGGCAGCCGTAAGCATCAGATCAGCAGAAATGCGGTAAAATATCAGGGCTAGTAGTAATTCCCCCAAAGTCGTCACAACTCAGAGAAGACGCGGTCATAACCGTTCAATGCGAGCCACAAATTGGGCATGAAGGGCGTTGGCCGCCTTCGCAAAAAGCCCTGCGATCAGCAGTCATCGAACCCGCAGACCGCATCGAGCAGCGCGCGCAGCTATAAGCAATGTCCTTGTTGGAACTCTGAGCAGTAGAAAGGTGCATGAGGTAGAAGGATAGGCACTCAAGCTAATATGTTGAAATTTGTAAGCAAAGACGAGACGAGACGAGACGAGACGAGACGAGTGTCACCGGTGAGTATACATACAGCTATCACGTTGCTATCGTAAACACTAGGTTTGCGATATCTAAACGGAGATATCACTGCGAATAGCGCAGTGCCTGTGTCGCACGTTTCCGAGCTAGAGTCTCGAGCACAAACCACAATGACAGCAGATTTTTTGCAAAGTGATATGAAAAAACACATGCATGTCAAGTTTTTTTTAGTGATTATAAGGACTTGAAAGGTTTTTGGATGTGCAAACAAAATATTGATGATATATTGAAAATTTACAAATTATGCTATTTCATTAGCCATAGCACCAAATCGTTTTCTTACTCAAATAAAAGGAAAGCAACGGGTGCACAGCTAGTGAAAAGCAAAAAAAAGACAATAGTTTTGATGAAAAGTGCATAAATTGCAAGAAACTATAAAATTATGGCATGCAGAAAATTATCAAGAGCAAAGTGGCTGCAAAACAAACATCGAAGCTAAAAACCGCTTAAGAGAAGCAAATTTGGCTGGAAAGGACTCGAAGGTGCATGCTTATCAAAATCGATTTGCCTTGTCTAAGTTGCGAGGCAAATATCAGAAGTAATGATAGCAGGGAGAAAAATTAGCTGTGCGACTCGCGTTGTGCGCTATTCTGTTCATATTGATTGTATTTGACGTGCGTTTTGATCCTTTGCGTGCATCTACGGACAGCGGGCGCACCACCACCCCGGACGTACTCGACGCTAGTCGTTTGTCGACACCACGACTTCTCTGCATTTCCTGATTGTCTGCACGACGTGCACGCTGGTGCTGCCTTGTCGTGCCGGCGGCGTTGCCGCAGCGTTATGCCAGGCATATGCCTTGGTCACGTCGCCTATCCCTTATCAGGGGGGGGGGAGGCACTAGAAAGGCACTTGCCGTGTTCCGAGCGAGTCGTCACGACTCGAGTGGGGTTTACTACAGGCCCAGATAGCTTCCACACTCGCAAATATGTTGTCAGTAGTACCAACCGGCGAATCAACAATAATTACATGGATTTTAGTGTACTCAACAAAGGCAGGAATATTCCAGAAATCTAAGAAATGGAACGCAAACACCATGCATACAATACCGCTCATATTCCGTCAAAGAAAGTCGCCGCACTTTAGCGGACTGCGCCACAGTGCGCTGTAGTGCGTCGGAGCGCGGCAGAGTGTGCCTGAGCGCGCTAGAGTGCGTTCGGAGAGCAGCGGAGTGCGACGCACATTACTAAAGTGCGCCGGAATCCGCGTCGCATCGTCATATCCCGCTTCAGAATGAACTTATTTTGAACCCAAAAATACTGTTCGATTCAACTTGGCGAAACGCACCATGCAGTATAAAGAAGTGACCCAATTGTAGGAGTACGCAGGTATATGGTTAACAGCAAGTTTTTGCTCAATTTTGCAGGTTTTTGTTTGACTGGATAGTCCACTTCGCTGATAACGATATTGCCGTTGATTTGCTCTGATGGCCATTGTAGGGATATCGTAGGAGTACGGTAGAGAGTTACTGTGTTCGAATTTGTTCTGAAATGAGCTCAAGGTACTATACCGCCCGCTCACAGAATGTGCAAATTTTCCGCGAACGTCGCGGAACTATGGGAACTCCGCGAATCATGGGAATCACGCAAACACAGCGCCAGACTTCCTTCGAAATGAGTACATTCTGCCGGAAGCAGTGTTGTGTTCAGTTGCCCTCTTTACTCCAATTTCAGTATTCTTAAATCTTTCTGCGGAGGCTTTTTCGCAAATTGTAACGCAGCGCCTATCCAACGTAAGAGATACCAGTAAGTACTATTCGATAGTACTGTTGTAAATTATAATACACTAAAAATTGGCCTAAACTTCTTTACAAAGGAAAGAGAAGGGCTGATGAGTTCTGAAGAAAATTTGCGTCGTCCCATATTCTATTCATCATAACCCTAATATACAAAGCTGGCTTAAGCAGATATGAATTTCGTAATCAGCAGATCAGATAACCCCTATGAGCAAGATTTCAGAGAACTTCGAATTTTTCTCATTTCACGCTGTGGGGGCTCGCCAGTGGGTTCACCGAAATGTTGATGATTTTGGTTTGAAGGAAAACTCCGCTCATAGAGTAATGTGAAACGCGTTGAGTCATTGACGATTTATTAGGAAAACACAAAAACCCCTCTCTGCCTATCGGCGTACATGCCGAGGGTTTACTAGGAATATTTCTATAACAACACGTAAATATATCAAGGTCGGTGGGTATGCCGCAACCACAGAGACCACATCCACTTAGTTTACAATGAGCGAGCAAGTTCACTATATCTATATGGGATGGCTCTACAACACCTCCCTCTTAAGATGAACAACTACATCCTATAATGAGGGTTTATTTGTAGACGTTCTAGCGTGCGATGGAGACTTGGTCTGGTTAATGTCGGTGACGTAGTCGAGGTGGCTTGGTGTTCAGCAGCAATTACACCGTTGTTACGTCGGCCTTCGTCGGGATTGAACTGTGTTGAGTCACTAAGTGGCCATCTCCCATAAGAACATCATATACGACTTTTCCGTAGCGTTGCTCCATGTGTGCTGGAACACATTTTTCATATCCAGAGCGAAAGTCAAGAACCCACACAGCCTCTTGTGATTGGTACGCTTTCCTTCGTGCACCATGGTGGCGGTTGAACTTTTCTCCATAGCTTCATTGCCCATTCTTTTTTCTCTGGCTCTTCATTCAGCAGCGACAGTGGTGTCCTTATCTGACGTCCCAGGACCAGCTCGGCAGGCGAACGTTGTCCTGAGGTCGGCGTACAAGGCGTCCATCGATAAGACTTCAGAAACTCCGTGAGCTTTTCCCGTTCCTCTTTCCTTAATTTTCTGGAAGGTTCTCTTGAAAATCTCCACAAACCTCTCCACTTGTCCATTTGATTGTAGGAATGGAGATAAACGCATATGCTTGATTCTTCGCTCTTCACAAAAACCTTGGAACTCCTTTGCTGTGAACTGCGTCCCATTATCCGACACGATCACTCAGTCCAAATCGTGCGAATAGAGATCTGAGTTCTCTCAATGTAGCTGTAGTTGACGATGAAGACATTTCAAACACTTCTGGCCATTCCGACTAAACATCACTACGACGAGATACATCTTACATTTAGCGGTCCTGCGTAGTCAATGTGAAGTTGATTCCATGGTCTGTCTTTCACTGTCCATAAATGCAGCAACGTCTTCATTGGCAGTTTGGAGGCTTCTTGACATTCTCTGCAGCGGCGCACTGAATCTTCAATTTTTCCGCTTACAAGGGAAGGAAGGTGGGTTAAAGTGACCTTTCAAAATGAGGTGGGTATCATCTTGTAGGGC